GCCCTCTGGGGGGAGCCTCGCTGGAAAATCAACACCGGTTGCATAGTGTACCTTTAACACTTTCTAATTTTCCACCGTCTCAAATCTGGCTTCAAACACGGAGACATGGACAGGCCCGACAGACTGGGCAGCTTTAAACGCAGCAGCTTGACTGCCTCTTTGGGGGACCCCCAGTAAAAATTATTATTATAATTACTTTACATTTTTTTACTGATTAATGCTAAATTCCTTAAAACACCGTCAATGTATTAGTTTTAGGTATAAATAATGATCCATTTGTTTTTTTCCTTGCTGACCGGACTTTTCCTTTAAAATGAGAAGTTCTCCAAAAGGTTTCTTGCTTTAGTACCTGATGTCCCAGAACGTCTCGATGGGGGCATCTGGGTTCCACAGCTCTATGGTCTCTGGTTGGTGCAGAACTAACAGAGCCTGTAAATCAAACAGGAAACAAAGAAGGGTAGAGAAGAAGAAAACATTTACACCACAGCAAAGATTCAACGCATTAGTGCATTCCTGCCTCCAGGTAAAACATTTGGCAATCATTATCATAAAAACATGACTTCATAAAAGTTTGTTTTAACTGGGACTCCAGGTCGGCTCTAAATGGAAGATTTAGATTCCGCCGTATGGAGTTCACCGCTCTGCATTTCAGATACACAGTGTTTACACCCTGGACCGTGTCATCAAATAGGAGGAGCTTCAGCTGTGTGAAGCTGACATCCTACTGATGCAGAAAAAAATAAATCAGCAAATCGACTGGTTATTGTTTCTTTAGTGCGGGTTTTTGCTTTTAAAATGGTGGAATTCTGTTCCCCTTTGAAAATCTGTTCCCTCTGTGTCAGGAGCGCGCATTGAAGCCAGAGAGGCGGATCTGGCAGATCAGACCATTTTCACGGTGCTTCTGATCCATTTCTCAGTTAAAACAAGTCATATAAACATGTCAAGGTTGTAATATCCAGTTTAATCGGCAGCTGTTATTTACTAAATTTGTAAACAAATAAATAGAAAAGGTCTTTCTATGCTGTTGTGTTTTGTTGTTTTTTTAACACCAAGAGAATCTGTCTTTTTCCAACTTCTGTCACCTGTCGCCTGACAGACGTATAAATTCAGTCACAAAACAGTTTTCCAACACGTAGTATGTTTTTTTTAATTTTTTAATTGATGATATAAGATAATGGAAACTGGCTGATAGAAGGGCACAAAAATAAAGACTTCCTGAAAAGATGAGAGAGTAGACTTTCCTGTAAATACTGTTCTAATGTAAATTATGACAGAATTCTGGATTAACCCTTTAAAGCCAAGTGTATCATATTTGATACAGGAGATTTTGAAACCTCTGCATCATCAGTGTGATGTTTTTGTTCTTGAAACCTTGACTTACATAATCAGACACATGTAGTAAACAGAAAACATATAAAAGATAAAATAGAAATGCGTAACATATCAAAATTGATGTAAATAAATGATGTAATTTCATGTTTTACAAAATTTATATAGTTATTTCATTTGTCACAAAGTTCAATGACAATTCTAATTTTGGAAAATTTGAATCTTCTGTCAATTATTTCCTGGTTCAGGTTTAAAGGGTTAAAGACATTTCTAGTATACGATATGTTAACACACATAACAATTTTTGAGGATTTGGAAACAGTTGCTCTTTACCTCCCAAAGAGGAGGAGAGGAGAGAATGAATATTTTAGCTGCCTGAAATAATCAGTTCCGCCTCCATAACATGGAAAGGAATCTATTTACCTGCAGGTCTAACTGTCTTCATCAATAACAAATCCTGTGGATTTGGCCACATTTGATCTTTATTTGCCAAAATTAAAGGAGGGGAACCATATATTTTAACTGAAATATTCTTTTCCCCCTTTGATGATCTTTATGAAAGTTATTTTCTGTTTAAATGTTTATCAAATATACCAAAAAATGTTAAAAAACAAAGCCAGTTTCCAACCTTGAAGATTTTTCACTTTCCATCCATGTCTGGAGTAACGCTACTCCAGACATTTTGAATAGAAAATTGAAGATACATTTTAAAGATCATCCAACCCACAGTCATATTTATTTTCAGTTGATAATAGAAATAGATATTAGGGGTGGAACGGTTCACAAAATCCACGGTTGGGTTCGATTCACGGTTTCGTGGTCACGGCTTTCGGTTCCAATCGATTCG